ATTCATTAATCTCCTATTTTTAGTCATGTACCCATTGCATTTTATCTTTACAATTTCTAGGAGTTGCATTTAATTAGAACTGTTTTGGGTTTGCTTAAAGTATGTGGGGAGTCTTTTGTGCCTGTAAAAGGGCTTGTACTTGAGTATTTGTATATGCAAGCCAAGAAATCAGGAGCATCCCGAAAAGTTTCTTCTTGTGTTCTTCTCTGGTCTTTCCTCCCAAAGTTCTCTATTTCCAACAAAGTGGTATCACAGCTAACTTCCAAAGATGAATAGCACTTTTCCATTTGTAGTTCCCAAATTGACGAAGGAGATTTATGGACATTGGTGTATCCGCATGAAGGCACTGCTTGGCTCACAGGAAGCATGGGAGGTTGTTGAGAAAGGCTATGATGAACCAGAGAATGAAGAGTCTTGAGTCAAAATCAGAAGGATGCTTTGCAGAAGATTCGAAAGCAAGATCAACATGCCCTCTCTATCATACACAGGAGCTTGGATGAAGCTCTGTTTGAGAAAGTTGCTACTGCAACAAAGGCTAAGGAAGCCTGGGAGATTCTTGAGAATAATTTCAAAGGAATTGACAAAGTGAAGAAGGTTCGCCTTCAGACTCTTTGTAGTGAGTTTGAATCTCTACATATGAAGGAGTCTGAATCTGTTTTCGACTATTTCACTAGAGTGTCTTCCATTGTCAATAAAATGAAGCGTTATGGAGAGAAGATTGAAGATGTACGTGTTGTGGAGAAGATTCTCAAGTCACTTGACTCAAAACTTGAGTTTGTGAGTGTTGCCATTGAAGAATCAAAGGACCTGGATTCCATGACACCCTCGATCAACTCATGGGGTCCTTGCATGCATATGAAGAAAGACTTAAAAAGAAGGGAGAACAGTGGCCCAAGTTCTCCAAACTAAGGTCTCTTTGGGAGAACAAGAGAAAGAGCAGGGACGATGTCAAGGAAGAGGTCAAAGTTGAGGTCGAGGCTGAAGTCGTGGTCGTGGCCGAGGAAGAAATGAAGGTGGCCAAAATTCTAACAATGAAGGATCAAGTAATCAACTACGAGGATGTGGAAATTATGGTTCAAAGAGAGGTAGTGGAAGAAGGTATGACAAGTCCAATATTCAATGTTATACCTGTCACAAATATGACCATTATGCCAATGAATGTAGGAATTCCTCCAACAATGAGGAGAGGGCTATTTATGTTGAAGCAAAAGAAGAAGAAGAATTGCTGCTGTTGATGGCAACTAAAGAAGAAAGAGATACGGAGCATGGTACCTAACAGTGGAGCTGCTAATCACATGAGCGACAACAAAGAGTGATTCTCAACTCTTAATGAGGTGATGAAAGGCAATATTATATTTGGAGATGATACCAAAGACCCAATCAAAGGCAAAGGTGATGTTCTCATCCGTTCGAAAAACGGAAGTCACCTTTTAATTACTCAAGTTTATTACGTGCCCACTTTGAAATCTAATATTTTAAGCTTGGGACAATTACTTGAGATGGGGTATGACATTCACTTGAAGAATGGTTACCTTACTTTGAGAGATGGTTCACACAACTTGGTTGCAAAGGTACCTACGGAGAAGAATAGAATGTTTTTGCTCAATGTTCACGTGGATCATCCAAGAAGCTTGAAGACTTGTGTTGAAGAAGCTTCTTGGCTTTGGCACTTGAGACTGGGGCACTTGAATTTTGGTGGCTTGAAGGCTTTAGCAAGTGAAGAGATGGTGAATGGGTTAGATTATCGAAGTACGATGAAAGTACAAAGACGGATCCATCTCTGTATAGAAGCCTTATTGGAAATCTGAGATATTTGACTTGCAAAAGACCAGACATTCTCTATGGTGTTTGGTCTTGTTAGTCGGGACATGGAGGCACCTACCTTAACACACATGAAGATGGCCAAGAGAGTACTTTGATACATTAAAGGTACTCTTGATTGTGGCCTAACTTAGTCTTTTTCCACAAATTTCAAACTCTATGGCTACAGTGATAGTGACTGGGGTGATGATGTTGATGATCGGAAAAGCACCACCCACCAGCTTTTTATTTTTCTTGGGTGACACCGCTTTCACTTGGTGTTCAAAAAAGCAACCCATTGTGATTCTCTCTACTTGTGAAGCTGAATATATTCCTGCTGCATCATGTGTCTGTCATGCAATTTGGCAAAGGAAGTTGTTGGAGATGCTGCGCATGCCTCAAGATGAAGCTACAACCATTTACATAGATAACAAGTCAGCTATTGCTTTGGGAAAGAATCCAATGTTTCATGATTGAAGCAAGCATATAGACACCAGATATCACTTCATAAGGGAGTGCATTGAGAGGAAAAATGTAAAGCTTGCCTAGGTGGAGACTAATGATCAAATTGCAGATATTTTCACTAAGGCATTGAAGTTTGAAGATTTTGTAAGACTGCATGCTTGGATTGGAGTGACTAGAGGTGATGAAGTTTAAGGGGGGGTGTTGGAAAAATAAACTTGATTCATTAATCTCCTATTTTTAGTCATGTACCTGCATAGTTCATGTACCCATTGCATTTTATCTTTACAGCTTTCAGGAGTTGCATTTAATTAGAACTGTTTTGGGTTTGTTTAAAGTATGTGGGAGTCTTTTGTGCCTATAAAAGAGCTTGTACTTGAGTATTTGTATATCCAAGCCAAGAAATCAGAAGCATTCTGAAAAGTTTCTTCTTGTGTTCTTCTCCAGTCTTTCCTCCCAAAGTTTTCTATTTCCAACAACGTAGACCACCAGAAAATCTAATAGATATATTCTTTGACAAATGTTGAGAAGAAGGCTCTCAATCGGACTCTTTTGTTTTGTCCTATTTCCTTTACCTTTTAAATAGGAAAAGTTTGGCAGAATGTGAACTCAGATGGCGGACCACTTTTTTTTTTCCCAAGCCGGGCCAGCTACTAACTTAAAATAGCCATTTAAATATATCATTACTTATATATAGAAAATAACAATTATTTGTTGTTTTCAAAACCTAGTACAAGATGACAAGTGGGCAAGTAGCTCTCAGACCATTAGCCCTCTACCTAATAGAAATGTGTTTGATCATTGAACTTCTGATAAATACCTAGCAGGCTAACAGGCGAGTTAATTGTATTATGCAATGAAAAATAATAGGATTATGATTCATGCACGTTCCGGTTCAACACCTAGGGTGCATACTCTACATAACCAAATAATTTTAAAAATAAAATTACAAATTTATTTTTTTCTTTTTTTCTTTTTTTTTTCTCTTGGCTTCTCCTTTGGGTTCTCCGAGAACCCAAACCCCTTTTTTTTTCTCTCTCTCTCTCAATTTGGGTTCTTCGAGAACCCACCTCTTCTTCTCTCTTGATTCTTCTCTCTTCTGTAGATCTAGACCATCTCCTTGCATCTTATCATCATCACAACCTCCACCTCCATCACCATCCTCAGTCACCACCGAAATAGAAGGAGAGGGGCAGAACCATAGATCTCTCTGTTTTCCATCACCATTGTCACCATCACCACCATCATCATCGTCATCGCCAAGTAGCTCCAAAAAAAATAAATAAATAAAAGGAGAGGGGCAGAACCATAGATCCCTTTGTTTTCCATCACCATTGTCACCATCACCACCATCATCATCGTCATCGCCAAGTAGCTCCAAAATAAATAAATAAATAAAAGAAGAGGGGCAGAACCATAGATCCCTTTGTTTTCCATCACCATTGTCACCATCACCACCATCATCATCGTCATCGCCAAGTAGCTCCAAAAAAAATAAATAAATAAAAGGGTGAAGCAAATCTGGTTTCGGGGAAGGAAAAGAGTTCGGCAGCTAAACACCAGACAGAAAGGGTTGAGGAAGATGGAGAAACAAGAAGAAAAAAGGGTATTGAGAGGACGATGACTTTTAAGGTTAAATTTATAATTTTATTCTTAAAATTTTTTTATTATGTAGAGTGTGCACCCCATGTGTTGAACCGGGAGTGCACAAAGCATTTTCCAAAATAATAATATTAACAAAGCATCAAAGAATAAACAATAGAAGCTTGTCTGTGCTTAAAGGAGAGATGGATATATACTCGTTACATTGACCTCATCAAAATTCATAAAATTTTGAGTATCAAGTTCCCCAGTGACTTGTGGTTTAAAAGCTGCCTCCATCTCATAGATTTTGTCCCATACGACGACTTTGAACCAAGGGTGAGCCTGATTATACCCAGAGTTAATAGACATACAGGATAAGAATATTGAAAAGCAAATTAAAATATAAATATTTTGGGATAAACAGAAGCATACTTTTATCTGGTCATCACCTAAGGTACCAAGACCAAGTCCATGCTCATCATCACAAAGCAACTTAAAGATCAATTCCCTTTTCCCAATTTTTAGTAGTAATCGATATTGTGGTTACCGAGTGGATTGAGTTTTAGGATTAGATTGCCCTGAATTTCTGGTATCGAATCAATCTGGGTTGGATGAATTAGAAATATAATGCACTCCCATTCTGATTCAGTGTCTTTGAGAGCTCGTGTTGAAAATTCAATAATTTATTTAATTTTGCAATTCATGTTGTGATGCTTATTTTGGTTTCATTTTAATCTTTGCAATGTAAATCATCTGTGCGGGTAAAAAGTTGGCTGAGAGCATTGTCAAGGCGAAACTAGCAGCATGTGTAAACATGGTACCTGGTGAGTGCACAGCATAGCTATTTTACTTGTGCAAGTGTTAGCTCGCAATCTTTTAGCTAAGGAGAGGGTGTTTACTGTCTTTAAGGTATATATCTGATGAGGATTTAGATGGTTAGATTGCAAATGTAGTTGTGCAATGTTTGAAAGAGAAGAAATCATTAGTAGGTGGTTTTAGTTGACACTGGTGACGGGTCAGTGTGCTGAACGAGAAAGTCTAAAGTCTACTGTATTTCGAGCAGACGTGATATTCCAAGCCAATCCAAAAGCACTACATTAGCTATTTTTTTCACACTTCATCAATCACCAAAAAAAAAAAAAAGAGCTGATGTAGTGTTTTTGGGTTGGCTTGGGATACCACGTTTGTTGTATCCTGAGGATGCAGCAGACTTTTTTGTGTTGTACACCATGAATCCTGCTCACTCTGATGTACCATCCCGGTAACCATTGGATATATGTAGTAGTAAACTTTCAGTATGCTACCACAAATGATATGATCTTTAAGTAAATTTGTTACACGAGTAAGGCTCTCAGCTAACACCCCTTCCAACCATTGGCCAGAATTCTCAATTTAGCCTTAAGTAGAGATGATATATCTCTGATTTCTGCAGGACCTCTAGTTAATTATACATCGCTTGCAGAAACATCCGCTTTTTTACCACTTCGCTTTTTTTTCATCTTCGACTTTTCCCAACCTTCAGCACCAATTGATATTGTTCGATCCTCACCTTGTACTGCAGCACTATTTGCAACCCTGGGCAATTCCTTATCTCTATCTACAGCACCAGATGGCCTGACAAGAGCATTGTTCCGCATATCCATCTGATGTTCATGAGAAGAAATGTCAATCTTCAACTAAAAGAATAATTAAGAATGAAACTGCATGCCATGCAAAATTGCAAATCAACCCACATCTCTGTATGGGGAACTAAAGATATTACACCATAAAGTAAAAGGATATAAAACACAAAACCAGATTCAGACAATGAAATCTCACATAGGGAAAGTTTTTCCACCACAATCACAAACCAATAACTCAAATGACTAACAGTTTATAAGAAAAATTACTGCTATTTAAGTTGAATGACCTAAGGAGTAGTAGAAATTAACTCTCACTCTGAGTGGGTTAAAACTTAGAGGAATTCAGGAGCAAGAAATAAGAGCATGAATATTAATATTTATAACTAAACTAGCAAATAACATCCATATCTAAAAGTGAATATGATACACATAAGTCCTTAAGTAAATGAGCTATCAATACACAATATTAAATGGGATCACAATATCACCAACTGTGTCAAAGGAAACAAAGGCAAGGAAGAAAGAATGATACAAACCCTCACATGCACCATAGAAGTTCTAGTCCGTTTATTTGGGACAGCACTTTTAGGCCGTTCATCTGACTTCTGTTGCTCATATTCAAAATTTCCACTAATCGCATGATTCTGAATTTCCATCTTACCAGGGGTAGGACCCAACACTGACCGCTCACTAGATAAGGAAGCATTAGAATGGTCAACTGAAAAGCCTTCCAATCGAGATCTGTTCTTTGAGGGTATGGCTGGGAAAGACTTGTTGAATACGGATAAGACTTCACTGAAAATCTTCACTCGTTCCCTGTTACCTAATTAAATTTAATAAATAAACACAAATGAATCCAAATTGCAAAATTTAACAAGAACTACCTGGCCTTGATAGTGCTCTCACACAAGCCATGCCTGACCCGTTTTATTTCTTCTGGTGTGGGAGATAATAACAGCTTGCCCTTTGATGAACCAGTAGAAGGTTCATCAGCTGAAATACCGAGTGCAATATTCAAGAGCTTTTTTAAGTCTCCTTGACAATTAGACTTATGATTAGCAGCAACTGCCTTTGTATCAAACCGCAGGCACTGCAGGAAACTGGACACATCTCCTTGAGTTACTACAGAACTGCTTCTCGACGTATTTGGAAGAGAAGCCAAGATTGGAGTCTCAATGCTCTCGTGGAAGGTACTTGATTTGTCCAACTGAGAAGCTAAGTGGGATACACGCTGTCCACCAGGGTATAAAGCCCTATCTGGGCTACCAGAAGACAGATTGAACTTGCTAGATGTTGCCATTGCATCAGATTTTGCACCTCATCTGTATTATGAACCCAAAAATTACATTGGTGCATGACAAAATTGTGGTGCAACAGCACATAAAGGCAAGTTTTCAACTCTAACAGACTCAGTAGAACGCATCTGTGCCAAAATTAATTTTTAATTTTTATATCATACTCCAAAATCAATCTCAAGTTCATGCTTTCAGGTGCTTAATGCTCAAGTCAAAACATGACTAGCATAAAAAGTTTTCAATAAGTTCTCAATATGTTTATCAGTTTCCATAAGGAAAAATCTAGCATCAGAAACTAAGCTATTCACCTCCTGTGCCTGAAAAGATTCAAATAAGTGATCAATAACTTCGAAAAATAGGAAGCTGCCTGGTTTATTCAGATAACTATGAAATTGATGGATTGATACATGGTTTCTGCTGTAGTAGCCAGTAAGATCCCCATTTACA